GGAGGGCTGCTTAATGAATTTTGGTAAGCTGTTGAGGGCCACAAGGGTAGCCCCACCCCTTGACAGGTGCCCCACTCCCTGGCTGCCATCCTGGGACTGGAAGTCCTACCCCTAACCCCTGACCTTTGTCACCAGAAGTTCCTCCCCTTGGCCCCCCTCCCGCCACAAGAACTCCTTTTGGGAGGGTAGGTTTGCCATTTTGGACCAGAAAAAAAACAAATCATATACTAAAAGTCAAACACCTATTATAACAGATTTTAATTTTACTACAAAAACTATTTATGTCATGATTTATGTGTGAGTAGTGTATATAGAGGTGATAGCATAATAAGTAAAAAATAAGATCTTACTGTTGTGTATTGTGTGGGAGGGTGTGGGGTGTGGCTGGGAGTTGATGTGTGTGTCTGGTGGGGTGTGGGGGGTTGTGAAGGGGTGTCGCTGTGTGGGGGGGCAATAGGGTATGTTGGGGTGTATATCTTGGGGGTTGGGGCAGGGTGTGGGTATGCAGTATTTGTGGGGTGTGAGGGAGGGTGGGGGATGTGGGGAACCCCCACACACTCTCCCCTGTGGTGCACAGCCCCTGCTGCTGGCAGCAGCAGCAACAGCAGGGGGCAGGCACTCAGGGAGCTTGTGCCCTGCACAGGCGCTGCTGCCCAGCTGTGCACAACTCCAGCAAGGGGTGTACATGAGGGCAAGAAGCGAAGCCGGGTCAGCCCATCTCTATCATGTGGGGCTCCCCGCAGCACACGTGGAACTCCTGGCACTTGCATACCACTGGAGGAAGCCCCATGCAATGGAGTTGGCTCCCTTCCCTGCCCCCTGCTGTGCACGTCCTGGGACTCCACAGGTAGTGGAGGGGAGACTTATCCTCTGCTTTCTCACAGAGTCCCAGGACCTTCACAGCTTCGTGGTTGCAGGGTTAGAGTTGATAGATTCTTCTCTCTCAGTACCAGCTGTGCAGTCACAGGGCCAGGACTGGGAGAGAAGAATCTCCCAGCACCAGCCCCATGATTGTGGGGTTAGAGCTGAGAGATAAGAATCTCCCAGCCCCACTCCTGATCATGATCATGAAGCAGTGGCTAGGAGCTCCCTGCTGCTGGGGCAGGGGGACATTGTCTCCACCCAGGCTCTGGTGACAGAGCCCAATCTGGCAGCAGGCAGCTCCCTGGGGCAGGCAGCTCCCGGCTGACTGAGAGCATGTTTTCTTCTGGTCAGCTGTTTATGTGTGTGCTACTGAGCAGTAAGTAATCAGGAGTAAATTTGCTACTTGTAAATACAAGTAGCAAACTTACTCAGGATGCAAACAAATTACTGCACAGTAAGTATCTGCACTTGTAGACAGTGATCCTTAGTGTGCAGTAATTAGCTCTAATCATGATAAAGCATCTCGTGTAGACACACCCTGCAGGTGGCATTTGGTGGCTACTATTTTTTAGCTGCTTGTTTCTCAAAAGGAGCTTAATGATTTCTCATAGCCATCCTAAATGAAGGGTAACAGTTCTGGTAACTTTTTCATTAGTCATAAACCCAATTGTTAGCATTGGACAGAGATGACCATGTCTTATTTGTCACAAGGAAAAGCTGATGGTGCAAGGAAGATTCAGCTTTAGACATGTAAAGATAAAGGTAGACACTTGGAGGATTATTAAATGGTAATCTATGAGTCACTTTAACAATAGTGTTTAGGGACTAATTCAAAGCCAACTGAAATTAGAGAAGTTCTATTTGACCTTACTGGGCTGGGCATCAGATTCATATTGCACCACATTTTAGCTGGCATTACTGGAGCTGTTCCTCTGAAGTGAGGTCATCAACATTTATTTCGTCTGTGCTGCAAGTTAATGAAAAAAACATGGAAATTGTAGTTGGATGGAGTGGGAAACAAATGTTGGGCCTGACAGCTTTGACAATGTCAATGCAAGGCAGAAAGAAAAAGAATAAACAGCAAAAGGAATTTGGTAGATATAAAATATATTTTAATGACATTGTTACAATAGCAAACCATGTGAATTGCAAATGTGGATTAAACTTATAAAAATAGTTGTGACAATAGAAAGTTTTTACCATATCCAGATAGAAAGAGTTAGTTTAATAATTAACCACTTACTTGCAGATCTGAAAAATCTTCAGTAGGGGAGCAGATTGTTATTGATTAACAATCATGTATACTTGCAATAAACACACCATATCCATGAGAACTGTATGCAAACCATGTGCAGATGACTTCTATATCATTTCAACATACATAAAATCTACCTTTAAGAAATTCTTTGGTCTAGTATATCAAAAATCCTTGCTGTCAGGAAATTAAATGTCAAACTCTACTTCTCCATCTATAACCAGGATCAAAAATAAACAGATTATCAATGAGAACTGCCACAGGGCAAGTTGCCTTTTAAAATAAATATCAGAATGGCTTCAGAGATAAATATAGAGAAAGTTTGGGTTATTTTTTAAGAATGCATGAAAGGAGTGATTGGAAGCTTTCACAAATAGGAAGTGAAAGAGATAAAAGGGAAGCCTTAGGTTTTCAATGGAATCAAAAAACTGAAAAAACAGGAACAAAATATGTTATACTTATATAAGACATGTAGTAAGAAAAGGAAGACAAAATGACAACAAAAGTGTAATAGTACACAGTTAGTACACAATATTAAAGATTGGGCTTGAAAAAAGAAAAGAAAATTTCACTTTAAATCCCTTATTAAGAGCTATGTAAATAATAGAGTGCCTGCCACTTTGAGGAAAGAATTCAAGGTTCACTAGGTTAGAAACAAGAAATTTGGGGGGATGGTCCCCTTTTTTTTTTTTTTTTTGGCTTTTTTATAATGTGAGATGAATAAAAAGCAGCAACCAGTAAGATTCTTGGCTGTTCTGGCTCCAATGGGGATGAGTCTAAAGCAGGCATGGGGAGCACTGGGGCTGCGTGCTGTTGGCGATGGTGGGGAGGCTCCGGGCTGTTGTGGAACAGGGGTGGGGGCTGAACAGCTCCTATGCACACCCCACCATACCCACAAACCCCACAACTTCACCCTCCCCCACACACAATCACATACCCCACAGACACTGCACCCACCCACACCCTTCCCACATACACATCCACATGCCTCTGGGGGGAGCCCCACACATGGCTACACTCACAAACCCCATCTCACACACATGCACCCACACCCCCCACACACCTAGACACCCTCCCCTTCCACACACCCCACACCCCCACAAACCCCATACTCCCCACACACACCCACACGTCTCCACAAACACTCTCCCACAAGCCTCCCATACTCACCCACCCACATCCATACCCACCCACATCCACAGACACCCCCACACTCCACATACATACACACACACACACACCTAAAGCCCCTCACAAACCCAATATCCACCCACCCTTACTCCCCCACACTTCCACATACCCACAATATACAAGAGTGTCTTCATTTTGAGCTATTATGCAATCACCTCTATATACACAACAAAACAGACACAGATCAGGACAAAAATATTTTAAAATAAAATTAAAATATGCTATTGTCAATGTTTGATTTTTAGTATATAATTTGTTTTTTTCCAGTTCCAAGATGGCAAACCCCCTTTCTAAAAGGTCTACTTCTGGGGACAAGGGGAGGGACTTGTGGTAGCAAAGGTCAGGGATTAGGGGGCAAGACTTCTGGTCCCACAATGGCAAGCAGGGGTGGAGCACCTGTGAAGGGGTGGGTCTACCCTTGTGGCCCTCGACAGCTTGCCAAAACTCATTAAGTGGCCCTTCAGCTGAAATAATTGCCTGCTCCTGTATTATACCATCCCTTCTATAAATGTGTCTAGTCCAGTCAGAGAGATGCTGGTTTCTTGCTTCCATCACTTTGCCTAGGAAGTCTTTCCTAATGTCACTCTTCTGGTCATTAGACATCTTCTACTTTCTAATCTAAATTTACCCATAGCCAGTTTTTAGCCATTTGATCACTTGGCAGGGTTGTTTTTCAACCTAAAAGCTCTTCATACCCCTTAAAACTCAGCCTAAACTCCATGTTGTCATACATATGACAAGCATCTTTTTTCAAAGTTCAGCTGCTGGAAAATGGAGTGTGTGAAATATACAATAAGTAGCTATTTTAATAGCAGTTTCTGCCACCGCTGGGGGAAAGTAAAAGTAACTATGTGACCAAGTACAGACATTACACTTTTACTAGTATAAGTGTTCAGAAACTGGTCTATACCACTGTGTAGCAGTTTCACACTCTAGGGACAGCCTCTGGTGGCACAGGAAAGCAGTGCAGGGCAGTGGCAGTTCCTGGGACCAGACACAGAGAGTGAGCGGAGGTAGGGGACAGGGAGGTGCCACGATGTGCTTCATGGGGCTGGCAGCACCCTGCACACCTCTCCCCTTTCCCTGGGTAAGAAGCAAAGTATGGGAAGGCGCTGGGAGGGAGATGTATATTGAATAAACACAGACACACACACACACACACCTGCAACAATCAGCTGCTGAGGTACTTCAGCTGTTTGCTATACCTTTTACTTAAAAGGATACTGCTTCTCCAATCAGTTGTGCAGGACTTTTAATGGGCTCCAGTTGATCAGAGACATGGTACCCTTTTAAATGAAAGGTATAGCAAAAAGCTGAGTGAGACGTTTTCAATTTGACAACCTGCTGTGAATAAAGCAGGTTGTAAACCACCTACCGAGTGCACTGAATAAACACCCACACATCTTCCAAGAACAAATGATTTGTAAGATACCTGCTTACCCACTTAACCATGTATATTTGTCATGCCTCAGGACACCTTTATATTACATCTGTAAAATGATATGCTTCCCCAAAATATACTTTGCATTGTAATACAGCAATACATTACCAAATGATATAAAATAATGAGTATATGATTCTTCTATATGTTTATTTATACAGGCACCTGAATATATATCCATATATATGTTTGTATACATTTATTGGTATCTATGCTCAATTATGAATTTAGCCTTAAAATTACAAATAAATACTTTCTAAAAAATACTGTAAACAATATAGGAGGAGGAAAATTGGCTACCCTTTTTCAGGTAAACATATATCTGCAGTCAGTCAGAATCAGTTTCTCTATTCTTTAAAATGGGAATATGTACAAGATAAGAATTAATGCTATCATACATTACATAAAATGATGTTGTATAAATTAATAAGATAAAATTAAAAACAAATAACAAAAAAGCACCAAGAAGCAATCAAGCTACAAAAGCTTACTACTTGCTTCATTGTTAATGGATTATGAGAAATTTTTACCATGAAGTACAAATATTTGGACATGTCACATGCAACTGGGTGGTGTGCCCTTTACTTTTTTATGGCAAATATTTTCAAAACATAAGATTCATAATTAAATAAGATATAATATGTTGGATGAATACATAGTCAAGGCATGTATTTAGGAGTATCGTTTAGGTCAGAGCTGTCCAAGTGGTTGCCCATGGGCTAAGTGTGGCCCATGAGGGCTTAATTTTCAGCTCCTGCCTGGGCTCCCACCTGGCTGCTGCTCATCCCATCACTCCAAGTTCCCCCTCCCTTCGCTGGCTTCCATTTCCTGCCCCCACCCCAAGGGTCAGTGTGGGGTAGGGCAACATGACACATCTCATTGAGCTGCAAGAGCCTGGGGCTAGAGGTACCTGTGCACTCTGCGGTGCCCACATAGTTCAGAAGTTGCACAGCCTTCACTTAGGTAGTTAAATGGAATATGAATCTCTGAAAATTACTGCCTTACCCAAAACATTTCTTCCATCACCGAAATACATAGTACACAAATAGAAAGAAAGTTGTGGATATTACTGATTCTATCTCCAAGGTTTAAGTTAGCTATTCCCAATAAGCCTTTTTAACGCAACACAGAACTGTAACACACATATTTAACTGCTGTCCCTTACCAAACACATACCCCATACAACTTCAAGAAAACTGACAAAACTTTTCAAATGTAAACAGTAATTGTGCACAGTCACTGGAAATACTTTACAGCAGCCTTTTTTTCAGAAAACGCTGAGCCGTCACACTGGAAGTTAGGACTTTTCCAAATAGCCACTGTTTGGCACCAAAATACTGAGGAACAAAAAATCAAAATTTACTTTTTAAACACTGAAGCTATCACATTCACCTTGCTTTCTAAATACTGAACACCCCTTTGTGATGCCCAGTGTTATCTGTGAGCAGCGCATTTTTCAGACTTTGCCAGAAAAGTCCTTCAGCTCGTGGATTCTTTGGCCAGTCAAGAATTGAACTCTTGTAAATCCTCCTCCTCAGCCGCAAGTACTGGGAGTGCTGTAACACTGGCTCCAGTAGAATAAACACAATCACATCCAGGTTCTCATCCATTAGTCTCTGCAGGGCGATGTAAAAAGCTGTTCTGAAGTTTCCATTTTTCACATATCTTTCTGTCAGGACAAAGATTGTCTTCCTGCTGCATTGGATGCTCTGTGCAAGGTTGTCAATAACGGCCTTTCCTGGCTCCCAGTCTCTTTCCTCTAAACAAAGCAGAACTTGTTTGTCTTCACTTTCCTCTAGGCGAACTCGTAATTCATTTATTACCCAATCAGTTACTGCCGTGTCCTTAGTATCATAGTCAATGTAAGCATCATAGAGAGCTTTTCCTTTTGCTGTAGACCTATAACCCTTTAGTTTTGCCATACATGAGTAATACTTATGCCAGATATCCCAATAAAAAAAGTGTTTCGTAACTGCTATCACCATAGTGCTTAAAGTAATAAAGGATGAAATATAAAATAGTATAGCCGAAACATCATCCAGATTGCAAGCATAAGGATCAATCAAGATAACGCTACGACGTCTTTCATTGTCTGGGTTCATGCAAATGACATTTCTTGCCACTTGTGAGATGGGAACTTTGGTTTTCTGGATCCACCTTATGAAGTTGCTGTTTTTGCAGGTACAGTCAAAGGGGTTCCCTTTTAATTTAAAAACCTTTAAGTGTTGTATAATTCTAGATAAGAAACTTGACTGATTTAAGACTTGCAGTTGGTTGTAACTCAAATCAAGATAGAGAAGACTGCTGACCCTCTTAGAAAAAACAAATGAAATCTTAGAAATCTTGTTCTCCCTCAACTTCAGAGTCTGCAGGGACTGTGTGTAATTGTACAGGATATCAACAGCCTTAAATTTATTCTGAGTTAAGTCAAGCAACTTCAAAGATTTAAAGTACCTAAGTTTTTCCCAGCTGAGGGTATGTATTTTATTGTTGTTTATATATAATTCAGTTAAGCTCCATGGCAGATTTTCAAATGCCTTAATGGGAATATTTCGAAGTCCATTGTGGGAAATATCAAGATGTGTCAGATTTCTGAGGTGCTTAAACAATTGGATGTGACTTGTGTCTCCATTTTTCCATAAGAAACCAAGATTGTTTCCTTTGAAGTCTAATTTTTTAAGGGAAATACTTCTTAGTTTAGATGTTGTCAGTGAGGAAATCTCATTCCAACTTAAATTTAAAATTTTTAAATTAGGAAAGTTATCAATAAACATTAACTGATGCTCAAAATCTGGCACTACAAAATAACGCTTGTTATAGCTAAGGTCTAATACCTCTAGATTAGGGAGTTCCTTAAATACAGAAAAACTGGTCAAATCCAATTTATTAAATGAGAGATCTAAATATTTAAGATTGGGTAAGATAATTAATTCAGTGCCTTTGAAAGCCTGACCAAGCGCATTTGAAGATAAATTCAAACAAGCTATGTCCTCAAAAGCTTTAAACTGATCTGGGGTAATGAAGAAAATATTGTTTAGACTCAAATCCAAAGCTTTACCATATGAGATACAATGCTGATTAAGGAAGTAATTTGAGTGCTTTTTATTATTATAAGAATATTCTAACAGGCTTGAATTATCCTTGTGTATAAAAGTATAATGGGAATTGGTTAAAAGATCTTTTTTCTCCAAAGATTTAAAAGAAATAGTCTTTTCTGTTGTTTGTGGGACTATTTGGTTTTGTTTCAAATATATTTGGGTAAGGTTGCTAAATTCCTGGAAGACAGATATATCAACTCTTTTAATAAAATTTATCCCAAGATCAAGGATTTTTAGCTTTTTAAGAGGAAATAGAGGTTTCAAATGCTGTCTGTCTACTTCTTTGAAGACATATCCTTTAATGTACAATCGTTTCAAAGATACTAGGAAAGAAAAGTATTGAGAGAGGTTAAGATATTGTGAGTATACTTGTTTCTGATAATTGAAAGATAAGTCAAGTTCCTCTAAAGAAGATAAATGTTGTAAGAATTCTCCTGTAGCTATTGCTTTCCTTAGAAAGTTAGATGCAAGGTGCAACACTTCCAACTGTGGCGTATTCTGAAACCAGGTAGATGGCACATTCATGAGTGAATTGCCGGTCAGAAGCAAAGTTTTTAGTTTGTTAAGATTTTGGAAAGCTAGGGGATTTATTTGAATGGCTGCGTTTCCAGAATAGGGTTCACATGGAAAAAGTGTATTGAAGTGTTTTGGGCAGTTTTCACTTAAATCCAGAATTTTTAAATTAACTAGCTTCTTAAAATCATCTTGACTGATGGTTCTTATTTTGTTATGACTCAGATAAAGCTCTTGCAGAGACAAGGGTAGTTCAGCTGGCACTCTAGTCAGACTGTTATAGGAGAGTGACAGCACAATCAAGTTGGTAAGGACAGAAAAAGCCCCTGCTTCTATGTTGAAAGATGCTTCGCAGGCATTTCCATAGTAACAGTTCTCATCCATATAGAGTTCCTGCAAATTGGGCAGTTCTGAGAAGGTGTTCTTCTGAATAGAAACAATTTTGTTGGACTTGAGACTTAGAGAGGTTATACTAGGTGAAATCCCTGTGGGTACTTTGTTTAGCTGATTGCCATTAAGCTTCAATTCCTTTAAGTATCTTAAGTTTGAGAAAGTTCCATTGGCTATCCCTAAAGGCTTTAGAGAAAAATCAAAATAAGATTCTTTTGGCTTAACATACCAATTCCAGTTTAATTTTAAAGATCTAAGGTCCTTAAAGTTGTAAAAATCCTTTGTAGATATCTCTTTAATCCAATTAAAAGACAGTATCAAGTCAGTAACATTTTCATGTATTTCCTGGGGGACTGCTGTCAGCTTTTGTTTACTGCAATCCAGAAGAATTGAGGAGCTATTATTTTTTGCTTTTATTTTACAAGGTCGGTCCTTAGAAATCCATTGGTGATGAACAGAGAGACTGACTTCAGGTTGAATCAGAAGAAGTAAAACAAAAAGGTCGTATGGTATGGTAGCCATATTTACCTAATGAAAAGAAACATGGATATTAATAGCACTTTTATATTCTTGACAGCAAATGCTGTTCATGTTTATATAATATTTAACACTTAAACATTTTAAATATGTGTACATTAAAACTGAAAAATAAATCATAAAACTGATATGGTGTACATGTAATCTGTAATTAGGATTAACATTTGAGCAAAACCATAATTCCAATTATTATATCACTACTATGTTGTATAATGCCCAAAATGGAATAAATTATTTATTTCACATATACCATAAACAAGAGCTATTCCTGAAGGTTTTCTTCTGTGCAGAATTTCCTTATATACCTCTTCGAACAAAGAAGTTTAAGATTTTGATGAATGTTAACCATTCCCATATTTTGTTTAATCATTAGTCAAAGTTGCTTGTTACATATTGTCAGCACCATGAATGAATGGATAGGGTATGGAATCTTTAGTAAGTCTTTTAATAATCCAAAAAGATAATATAATTATTGATGTTAAATAAAAGTTTAAAAAAATAAATAAATTGTTTCAAACAAACTGTATGCCAAAGAAAGTCCATTCCTTTCAACTTTCATTCTATAGTAACATCACCATTCTACCTTTTTTCTAATTATCATATACCCATTGCACATCTGCATGAGACACTGTCTGTGCAGTAGCCAAAAACTACTGTGCAGTAGTGCATCACAGCACAGACAGTGCAAATACACTACTGGGCAGTATTATTAGGCTATTGCGCAGTAGCATCACCTAAAAGATGTTCACCGGCACTACTGCGCAGTAACTCCAGTTACTGCACATTTATTTAGTACTTGCTAATACAAGTACTAAATAAATGCCCAGTAATGACTCTGCAATAGTGTCTCACATAGACTCGCCCACTGTCTAGACCAGTATTTTGAAGAGTTTAGCTATGACATGTTAATAGCTTAATACACACATGTGTGTTTAAGATGTGTTAAACTGGTCAAGGTAAAGTGAGGCGCCACCCTGAGTTTACAGCATGAAAAAAACACAGGAAATGGCCACATTAGTCTTTACAAACACATGAAGAACCTTTAAGTTACTAAGCTGCCAATCTAAAATGGAAGAGTCTAGAAAATGCAGACTACATAGAGCTGCCCCTTAGCAGGGAGCCTTCCCTGACCATCTGTAGCAATCGGACCATGAGATAAAATTCCTTCCTGACCCTGAATATGGTAATTAGTCTGACTCTAAGCAGGGGGACAAGACCCTCTAGCCAGGAATCTCTGGGTTTAAGTCCCATCAGGAGTATTGTTACCCCATTCAAAATCTTCAGCCTTGTCTGCAGACAACAACCAATGATTCTGGGGAGGTGAAATAAAAGACCCCTGACAAGTAGCACAAGGACATGAAAAAAGTTTCTTCCCAGCCCTATGTGGCAACCAGGAAAACCTCAAAATACCCATAGTAGAATATAGACATAGCTACTCCTAGATCATCCCTGACCAATGCTTATCCAACCACTTCTTGCACATCTCCACTGATGGAGTCCACAACTTCCCTAGGTAGTCTATTCCACTTCCATCTTGTTCTAATTGTTAAGAAATTTTTCTTAATGAAAAGTTTTTCTTGTAATGAAAAGACCCTGTATTTACTCAAATATAAAATGAGGCTTTTCCTCCAATCAACATGGAGTGGGGGGGAGCTCCTCATCTTACTTTCACATACAAGGAAACTGTACAAAGTACATTGCTCATCTTTGAACTGTTGCTAAAAGAGGCATTTGGCCAGTAATGGAAACCAACTATGAAGCTTATTAAATGCAGCCATCATTGAGCATGACTATAAAACACATATTTTTAAAATTCATGTGCCAGGTTAAATTAGCCAAATCAGTTCCGAATACTGTCAACTGAGCAGAATTCAACAATTAAAGTCCAAGTAGCACTACCACCAGCAAGTATACTCTGTCCCATACCCTTTAGCCTGGGTCTTCAGATACTCCCAAACCTTTTGGCAGGCATCCTACATGCAGGCTCAAGTGCAGAGGCCCCTAAGTCTCACTTGCCCTTAACCAACAGGTCAAAGGAATGAGCTTGGAAGGAATCCCCCATTTCCATAAAGTAGGCATGTCACTGAGATTCTCCTATTGGGAGGCTATAGTAGACTCTCACAAAGTGTCCTGCCTACAGAGCATTGGACAGGTTTGCACCCACCACTACACAATTACATTCTAAAATGATCTCAGCCCAAGCAACAAACCAGTACAGCAACTGCACTTGATCTTAGCTTACAAGAGACTAAGAAGTGATAAAACACATGGCTGACACAGGAAAAATCATCTGAAAAAGATACTTGGTAGTGCCTATTGTGTGCATTCCTCCTCAGTACCTATTTTTTCAAGTCATGGTGAGCCGTTATATTGCACACATTTTTTACTTCCTCTTCACTCCCACAGCTGAGCTGTGTCTTTCTTTCCTATTTCCAATCATTCCTGTTTCTTCACCAGCCTTAAGTGTCTGGCAAACATTACCAAATGGGGTATCAAACAGTTTACTCATAATCCTTCTGTTGGCTTCTCTCTCAGCCTGTTATGTGTAATTAGTGTGGCCCTGCCCTCCATGAGGTGAGACCAGATCAGGTTGCCCTGTGCCTCTTCTGCATATACATTTTTGGAGTATCCCAGAACTCATAAAAAGAACACCTGGTTCCAGTCATGGGGGGGGTGGGGAAGGGGCGGTGCTAATTAGCACATGGATCCCTTGTGGGGAATATTTGGAGTACACATATATACTGAGCAGTGCTGAGCTGTGGAGTCACCATGGACTGAAATACTGCTGACTCTGGTGCGGCCCAGCCCAATGAACTATATAGTAAAACATGACCTTTTTGGCTTTGGACTAATTTCATGCATAGTTTATATGCTTTCTAAGTAAGTGCAAAAGTGCTACTTAAAAGTGTGCTGATAGAGTGTCTGTGATAAAACTTGCAGTAGTTTAAAAAAATTGCATAATATTTGGGTGAACTAAGTCTATGGGTACTACACGCAAATTGCTACAGCTATGTATATTTCAAAGTCAGTTTTTTCAAATTTGTTCCTTACTTCCATGTGCTCAGGGAGAGCCGGGTCTGACAGTGAGGAGGAGAGAGGGGACTGCAGAGAGGAAGGAGGGGCAGATGGTATGACTACCACATATGTATTTTTTCTGCTGTAACAGTGGTTGGTAAATTAAAAAAAAACCTCCAATAATTAGATGCTATACCTAGAAAACTATATAACATTTATAAATTTTCCATATATAGAATCTAATTTCCAGGGTCATCTTATATTTGAGAAAATCTGGTAAGTTTAGAAAAACACATTAATATTAGCTTGGAAAGGCCAAGAGGAGTGGGGTGGGGAAATTCTATTAATGTGCTATGGGAATAGTTATACCCTTAGAACAGGGGTATCAAATTCATCTGAACCCACAGATTGGGCCTATGAACTCCTATGCCTCCACATGCCTGATCCAGCACAGGGAGCATGTCTACATGTGCTTTTATACATGCCTAAGCTTAATGTCCATTTGCCAAATGTTCCTAAAGGCAATATAGGTGCATCTACATGTGTACACACTAAGGTTCATTAACATGGTGTGTGAACCAACTTGGGACTAAAGTTATTCACAAGCCAGTTGAAATATACAGTGTTAATGCATGTTACTGCTTCTACATATGTGTTAAGGCACTTTAGCTATTTGCACCTAAATTTGATACCTGCTTTTGCATGTAAAATTTGATACCTGCAGCAGGTATCACATTTAGGTGTGAATAGCCCTAAATCTCCATGTTTAAGGTGATTAAGAGTGTACACATATAGACCTGCTCCCTTAATGCACCTTTAAATTGGCTAAAGCACTTTAAATCAGCATGTATAGAACACTCAGGCAATAATTACCCAGCCCGATCCAGGATTCTGGCCTGAATGGGTAGGACATGTAATGCAGCCTGGGACTAGCCCCAGTGAGTACCATGGGCAACGCAGCCCAAGACCCAGCCTGAGCAAGTACCATAAGTGGCAAAGCCTAGGAGCATCCCCAACCCTTGAGCATGTGTCTAAAACACTGCACAAGGGGATGGTCCAGCTCACAAAATGGGTGTCACCAAGGGTTAGATAATGGGGCTCTGCAGGCCAGATCCTGCCTGTGAGCCTCATGTTTGACACCCTTGCCTTAGAGAAAGGGTAAAATCAATAGAGCCAATTAAATGTTAGAGAAACTGATTTTTTTTTTAATTCATCTTTAGCAATAAAAATATGTATTCGAAAACTATATTCAGGGAAGTCAAATCTTGAAGCTTGCCACATTTCAGGTTTTATTTAGTGCGTACTAAGGAAACTCCCACAGAAGTTGCTGACAGTGGTACAAAGCCTTCAAAGCAAAGACGTCCAAAATGAATGCTTAGAGATGGGTTGGGTTCACAAAGGAGAATTAGGCTCAGCATAGAACTATCTAAATGTTGGCCTGACTGCATACTGGAATCCACAGGTCTGAGTTTGCTGCCTACATCCGTCTTGTGTTCCACAGGGAAAGTTAAACACCAAAAAAGTCAAGGTAGTCTCTTATTAATTAGGAGATAACATTCCTACCCCAAATTATGGATGAGATGAATATGAAACCAGGTGAGTCTTGGTTAGAAAAAGGTGGATCCTTCAGTAGCCACCGTCACACAAGACCTGAACCAATAGGCATTCTCAAAATAAGTCCACCAGATCAGCCCCTCTTGGTAAGATAGGTGGAAGAACACCTAGTTTGTGGTGAGTCATGGTAAGGCTTAAGCACCTGAACAGTTCTTCATTGCCAGGGCTCAGTGGGTGCATCTACATGTGCAATTAATATGACTAAATAGTAAACTAATCCCGACAACACTGTCTACACATGCATTTAAGCACAGTAATTTTCTGCACTGCCAGATACCACTAGATAGTATATGATGGAACTATCCAGCTGTGCACTGAATTAGTCTACTGTGCCCCAAATTCTGTGTTGGCTGAACCAAAATGAATTGCTGTACACTTGTAAACAGTGATGATTTACTGTACAGCAAATTAGTCTTCTGCACAGTAAAACATTGAGTGTACATGTACCCATGTTCAGCAGCAGAAAGATAGGGGACCTTTCTGGTGGAGCTTAGATGGCTACAGAAATTGAATGCCTTCAAAGTTTAGAGTAGGGGTGGGCAATTATTTTGGGCAGAGTGCTACTTACTGAGTTTTGGCAAGCCATCGAGGGCTGCATGGCAGGCAGCCAGGAGCAGATAAATATTAATTTTCTAAATTTTTTAGGGGCACCGCGGACTGGATAGAATGACCTGGTGGACCACATCTGGCCTGTGGGCTGCATTTTGCCTATCCCTTGTTTAGAGGGTGGCTTGGAGATCTGAATGTTCAGATGTAAGTGCCTAACATGGGAGCCAGGTACCTATGTCTATTTGTCGTTCTTAAACTAAACCTATATTGCACCCTCCAAAAAGTCAGAAAGGTGCTTGTTTGATATTCAAAAGCACTGGTCATTCTTCAGCTCCCTTTGCACTATTTTGAAAATCAGTCTGCATGAGAAACTCATTTTTTTAAATCTCTGTTAAATGGTGTCCAAACAAATTGCTTAGCATCATCAGCAGTTCCCTTAGTATTTACAGATCTTAAAGGACAAACCTCCTACTACTCCTGAAAAAGACAAATTCTCTTATTTCCATATATATCAGAATTCTAAGGAATGGCTCAAGGAGAGTTTTAGAGTTTAATTTTCTGTCCCCTTTGTGGTTAAAAGCACAATTACTGTATAGAAGGCCTTCAAAGATGCCCCACCTGTTTCTTATACACATATGTACCTGTGCATGTACACAGCCTGAATTAAGTAGACACTACATATTGGTTGAGTACTACCAATGGAAGCTAGATATTATACTACAAATATAGTTAGATGATTTTTTATCAATAGTAAATTCACCCAAAAACATAGTTATGAAGGGCCCAAAATTATTAAGAAATTAGGTAAAATGAGGCAAATAGTCTCCTTAGGCAAGCCATGAGTAAGGACTTGGGGGAAAATAAAGGTTAAAACATGTCATTTCATCATTTTCTATCCACAGTATTTCATTTCAGAAATGTAAAAAATATTTTCACAAAACACATTTCTAACTTAATTTTGAAATTGCATTTTTGTCTAAAAAGATTTTTAAAGGATTCAAATGCTTTGGTGTGATCTGAACTGATGCATTTCACTGAAAAACATTCTGTGTTGGTTGAGCCAAGGTGGATTTCCCTTCCTGATGCTGAAGTAAAGCAACTGAGTTGAAATTACTTGTCCATCCCTAACTGTAGATCATCTGTATTAAAATCAGGAGGAAAGTGGTCTATCAAAAATGGATTCAGCATGCATAACTCCCCCATAATGATTTCCAGACATCACGATCTCACCTACAACTACCTCCTGACAACACATACACTACAGAAAAAGTTAGTAAAATGTTTGTGTTCAAGTAATCCAGAAATTAATAATTTAACAGAAGGATTTAGTCACTTACTTGCAGAAATGAAGACTCAATGATAGCATCTAGTTTGATGGCTCTTACGGAGTACAGCAGCAAAGAAAATGTCTGTATGAACTAATGTAAGAATATGTCCTCTACATGACTGTAGAATGCCACAAAAGTCCAGCTTCCTCTTACTTAATATATACATACACATATATATGTGTACATAAACATCTCATACTGAGGGCTTAGCATGAGAGACCTCTCCATCTGAAACAAATCCAAGACAAGGATTGCTAGAGCTAAACAGGATATAACTATTGTAGGATTAACATTCAGACAAGTTGTTTTGTTTGTCTTGTTTTATTGTTTTTTTCTTTTTCTTTTGCAAAAGTCCCACAAAGCAGGAAATGACTGTGAGGTTCCAAAGACTGAAAAGTTAGGTAATAGCAATAACGTATCTATCTGGTCAGGGGGAAAACTACTGTCAAGTAGATGTCTCATGGCATGTTTTTCGCAAGAGTAGAAATGAGATACATTCCTTTTCCTAGTTAGTTACATTCTGCCTACGTAAACTCATCATTCCATTTTATTACAAGTTATTTTTAACTTTCCTTCCTGTGAAATCATAACGTAATATTGCTAAAGCAGGGTAGGTATTGTATTTCTTTATTCTCTATAAAATAGTTTGGGATTCTTCAG